ATATAAATTAAAAATAATATCCAGAAAAAGTTTTTGGGAATTAATTCTAATAATTTTTTATTTCTTTTTATGAGATTTTTAATTTACCATATATTCATAAAATTATTCCATATTTATCATTTGTGACCCCGTTCTAAATGATAATGATGTTTCAAAAGTAAGTAAAAGACAAATAATATTTATTTTTTTAAGGATTAACATCATAAAAAACTTGAAAAATGAGTGAAATTATATCTATTCACGTAGGATAAGGAGGTATTTAAGTAGGAAATGCATGCTGGGAATTGTTTTGTTTAGAGCATAGAATACAACCAGACGGCTAAATGTCATCAGATAAAACAATAGGAGAAGGAGACGATGCTTTGAATACATTTTTTTCAGAAACAGGTGCAGGGAAACATGTTCCACGATCTGTATTTTTGGATTTAGAACCAACAGTTATTGATCAGGTAAGAACAGGAACTTATAGGTAATTATTTCATCCCGAATAATTACTTTCAGGAAAAGAAGATGCAGCCAATAATTTTGCAAGAGGACATAATACGGTTGGGAAGGAAATAATTGATCTATGTTTGGATAGGATTAGAAGATAGGCTGATAATTGCACTGGCCTTTAAGGATTCTTATTATTCCATACAGTAGGTGGTGGAACGGGATCTGGGCTTGGATCATTATTACTTGAAAGATTATCAGTTGATTATGGTAAAAAATCAAAATTAGGATTTACAATTTATCCATCACCTTAAATGTCAACTGCAATTGTAGAACCATACAATTCAGTTTTATCCACTCATTCTTTAATTGAGCATACAGATGTTTGTGTTATTTTAGATAATGAAGCAATCTATGATATAAGTAAAAGAAATTTAGATATTGAAAGACCAACGTATACAAATTTAAACAGATTAATTTCTCAAGTTATTTCATCTTTGACAGCATCTTTAAGATTTGATGGTGCTTTGAATGTTGATATAACAGAATTTAACACAAATTTAGTTCCATATCCTAGAATTCATTTTATGCTTTGTTCTTATGCACCTATTATTTCTGCTGAAAAAGCATATCATGAATAATTATCAGTAACTGAAATAACTAATTCAGTATTTGAGCCAGCAAATATGATGGCCAAATGTGATCCTAGACATGGTAAATATATGGCTTGCTCACTTCTTTATAGAGGAGATGTTGTCCCTAAGGATGTAAATACAGCTATTGCAACTATAAAAACAAAAAAAACAATTTAATTTGTTGATTGGTGTCCAACAGGGTTTAAAGTTGGAATAAATTATTAATCACCAACAGTTGTAACAGGAGGTGACTTAGCAAAAGTTATGAGAGCAGTTTGCATGATTTCTAATTCTACTGCTATTGCTGAAGTCTTTTCTAGAATAGATCTAAGATTCGATCATATGTATGCTAAGAGATCATTTGTTCATTGGTATATAGGAGAAGGAATGGAAGAGGGAGAATTTTCAGAAGCCAGAGAAGATTTAGCAGCACTTGAAAAAGACTATGAAGTAGGAATTGAATCTGCAGAAGGAGTAGGTGAAGAAGGAGAAGCATGATAGATTATATTATTTTTTATTTATTATTAATGCATCAAAAATTTATTATGTTAAATACAAGAAAGTACTTCCTTACAATTTGGATAAGCAGTAGTAAACAGGAGTCTAATTAACTAATCCATTATGATAATTGTATTGCTTAGATTATGGAATCAATTCTGATGAATATATTTCAAACAAGTTAAAAATTTAACTGCATGACAAAAATCAAAATTTTTTATTTCTAAAACCAAGAATTGAAGTTTTGCAAAGTTAAATTAATTTTATTGCTTTCTACTATAAAGATAGAGCTGATAATAATTAATAAATTGTTATTAAATTAAAATGGATAGTTTAGCAAATTTTTTCATCTAATTTCTTTAAGAATTAAAGTAGGTGAGAAAGTCTTTGAATCTCCATCTAAGAAAAAGCCGAAGTTTCTCAAATTTTTACAGAACTACTTTATAAAATATGTGAAAGTTGAATTCCTTATATGGAATAATAAAATATAATTCTTTTGATGAAAGTTCAGTGTAAGTTATGCATCATATTTATTATTAATTTAAAGATACCAAATTATAAGATCCAACTCTTTCTGATTAAAACTCTTTATCAATAGTCATATAATTCTATTTTGACTATTAATCAAATAAAAAAATTGTCTAACTTGAATATTTTCATCTATGCATTTCTTAAAGTTTTTGAGCTAATTAGATTTAGATTCTGCTGGTTATGGAATGATTACTTAGATAGTATCTTTAATTACATCATCATTAATATTTAATAAAGATCAATTTAAAGATTTATTTTATCAATTATTAGACAACTTAACTAATTTACTTTTTAATGAATATATAATATTTGAAAAATAATTGGAATCCATTCTTTACATGAAGGATCTAAGTTTAATAGACTAGCAAGAAGACCTCTTTAAAGTAAAAATTAGCAGATTCTGAGATATGTATTTATTTCTAAATCTTTAAAATAGAGGCATTTAGGTTAATTATTGTCTAAAAATCTCATTTTAGTTATAAAATAAATGAGACTTAATAATAAATAAGTTTCAATTTATGAATATATTTTACTAGTTAGTAATTCACTATTAAACATTAAAATGATTTTAAATTTTAATAATCTATTTAATTATTTCTAAATATACCAACATCAATTACATATTATCTTTGAATCCAAATATTAAGCTGATCCATTACTATTTGAATCAGAAATATCTAAATTTTATTCATCGTTAAATTAAATAAAATGAATAAGAGCTGAGATTCATAAACTAACATAAAATTTATAAGGCTATATTATTAAATAGAAGAATTTATTAAATGATGTAAATTTCTAAATAAAGATTAAAGCAATTTAAAAACTAAAAAATTATTCAATGCAATATCCAATATCATCCAAAATAATGAATAACTAATAATTTTCATTTGAACTCACTCCAAAATATAAATATAGATAAAGAGATGAAGGTCTTGCCATTTCAATAGATCCTACAAATACTCTCTTAGTTATTAGTTCTAAATAAAATATTAAAATTTACTAATTTAAACATGGATGTTTGAAATAACTTTAATAAGTCTTTAAGCATTTAAATTCAATTTGCATACTTAATTTTTTCTTTAGAAAATCATATTTTATTTCTGGATCAAAGAATGCTTAAATTTTTTTATGGTCTTCTAATTTAATTGCTAACCCTAAATACATAACTAAATTGATTGGAAACTCTAATAATCTATAATGTTTAATTAAACCATCTAAGTCAGATGAATTAATTATATATGGCACAAATCATAAAGAATATGCAATCAAATTTTATTCCTACTCAACCTTATCTACATGGTCTTTTATATAGAGTATCAATGAGCATTCTTCAACAGTTCTTGGATTATCAATTAATGAAGAGGCAAATAAATTAATTTCATGTGGAAAAGATTGTTTTATTTTGATTATGGAATGCTCAGATCAATCATTATGGTATGTAAAATAGAAGATATCAACTGAATTATGGGGTTTTAGAATTTGTTTTATTAATAATTCATTATTTGCTTTTTTACCAAATGTAAACGATCCTTTTCAATAAACTTTAAAAAATATCCATTTCTACATTTTTTCAGACACTTCTGGATAATTCTATAAATAGAAAGAGGTCCAAATTGAAGGAGGAGATCAAAAATGTTTTGAACTCTTCCATTCAAAATATATAATTTCAAAATAAATACTCTTATTAAAAAATGGATATACCTTAAACTTTATTAAATTTATTTTTTCTGATTCATCATGGGAATGTTAATTAGTTCAAGCAATTAATTTTGGTATAAATAGAGGGTCATATTTGTTTGGGACTATGACTGAAGATGGCAAATATTTAATAACATGGGATAACTCAAATTCAATTCAAATAAGAATTCAAGAGAATTTTTGAATTAAATAATATATTTATACATTAATTTAAATCTAATCAACTTTAATTTTACTAATTATATTTCATTAGAATTCATTAATAGTATGAAAAGAAATAATCCGTACTTTAGATTTAAATTTTTATAATTTAAAAAAATATAAATATTTTAAATAAAAATTTCTTATACTATAAACAATTTAATTATAAATATTGAATCATTAAATATTTTCCATTTTTACTCATAGATGCAAAGGTGAAACTTGAACTTTATGGATGATCTCTATATTTTTTTATTGTATCTATTATTAATTTTCCTAAATCTATAATTATAAATTTGATTCTATGAATATTAAAAGCACTAACAACCTATAAAGAAACTACTTTTTTAATGTTAAAGAAAATGGGAATGTCTGGTTAGAAAAATTTATAGATTCATTAATTAATAGATTATCGAAATATATAAATTATTAATTTCTTTTTATAAATTATAATTTCATAAATTTTTGATAAATGAAACTTTTATATATTTTTAATCAACTTCATGTGATAATTTTTACACCCATCAATTTCCATATCATTGAAAAATTAATATTATTTTATTGTCCCTAAATTCATAAGTTAATCTCATTCTTAATTGTTTGGTGATTAAATAATCTTTCGTAAGGAAACCTAATAAATTCATGTCTAAATGTTGATTACATTTAAATAATTAAATTCTTTTTTTAATTAAATTTTATTTTTTTACCATATATCTTTTTTAAAGGAAGTTTAGATTAAAAAAATTAATAATTTTATATTTTATTTATTACTTCAATCTTCCTAATCATTCTTATCTAATATTTATAAGCTTTACATCTTTACCTTTCATATATACATTATTTATTTTCTTCCTAAATTCATTTTTCTATTTTTAAACTATGCTTTATTCATGTAATTACATTTTAATATTACAGGATAAGAAAATTAGTGTAATTTAAGTTTTCTCTTTAAGATAGGTTTATACATTTAAATAAATCTCCTTGGCTTGTATTTATTTAAAATATTTAAATAAATTTCTTATAGCATTATATTCAATTTTGAAATTATTTGAAAAATCATAGAAATATAAATAATATCTGCTTTGTAATTGTTTTATGCAATCGATAATATCTTCCCCAATATTTATCCTTCCGATAAAATAAGAATTAAATTACAAGTAATTAATTAACTTTATCTATGGTTCAATAAGATAAAAAAAATCAAATTTTTGATTTTCCCTAAGTTCTTTGTATTTTGAAATTTAAATAGAAATAAATGTTTTTAAAAGTTTTTCAGATAAATCTATATTGAAAATATCTTCATCAGCATTTTCTAGCTCTTCTCACTATTGCTTATAGATATTTATATTTTAGCAAATCTATTAAAATTAATAAGAAGTGAATGCTTCTTATTCCTAAGAATTTTTTTAATACTTTTTCCATGATTAAGGGAGAATATTAGACTTTTTGTTTAATATATCTTGAGTCAACATCTGCAGGTCAACCTATCAAATAGTATTATAAATTATAAAAAATAAAATAAATATATGATGTTTGATCTATATTATTTTTCATTTTAATGTAAAGGCAATCTTTTGATTGTATGAATATCCTTTAGTTGGATCAATTGAATGCATTTAAATTAATTTTGATTGACCTGAAGGTATTTCTAAAACTACTTCTTTAGAAATATCTATTCCAACTCCTTTCAAATTAGTGACTTCAAATTAAATTGTTTCTTAATATGTTTTAGATTCTTTATTTTCATAAAAGAGAGCAAT